GGGGTTGGACTAGATGATCTCCAGAGGTCCCTTCCAACCCTAACCATTCTGTGATTCTGTAAGAAACTTCTGTAACCATGGTGGCCTCAGGAAAAATACCATCCCTGTCCCAGCAAAATCAAGTCATATAGTCCATCTTTACCTACTGATTTCACACAGCCTTTTAGCTTCTAACACTCCATTTAACAATAAAAAGTAGATAGCAGTAAAAGTCACACACAATTTAAAGGAAAACTATTATGCCTTAATGTGTGTTATTTCATGGACACATTATCTAGTTTGGAGGAAAAACAACAGTCTATCAGACTAAGCCCAGGACTTGTCAGCTGGAATGCTAAAGGCTACTCTGACTTTTCACAATCAATTTGCCACGTCCCACAGCTTTTTATCTCCTTTGTTCCAAAACAGAAGGCAGATCACCCGGCTCACACGCTTCATAAAACATGATGATCCATGAATTGTGAGGATGGCTGCTAGGCCAAAAAAAGTTACCACCACTAGCAGGAGCTGAAGAATTTTGCACTTCCAAACCTACCTACCCCTGGACTGCAGTGGAGTACCACCACGTTCCACCAAGCAGTGAAGCAGTGGTGACACACGCACACTCAATTAATAAAGCAAGATTATGGTGTCCACACAATTCATGCCATTTGTGATCCATTCTTTCTGTCGTGTGAGAACACACAGAGAGAAAAATACATCTATTATCCATACTGGAAACTGAAGCTAACCCAGGAAGCCGAAGCGGAGCCAAAAGCAGCAGAGCACAACCGTAAGAGAGCCACACAAAGGGACAGAACAAGCAGCAGCTCCACTGACTTATGGCCAGCTTAACTACATCTTAGAAAAGACATCAAAGCAGGGAAGAGCTATGTGATGTAAAAGGCCAGGAAGAACTTCTGCAATAAGGAAAGCTGAGGGCAGCTGACAACATGAGCCCCCTGAACGTGCATCATTACACATGAAAAGAACACGCGTGCAGTTCAACAAGCCTTAACTTAGGGCAGGAGAGCATGCCCCAACAGGAGACTCAGATATGGAAGAAGACTTAATATTTTTTGATCGGTCACTTTGAGCTGTCCTGTTAATTTTTCCCAAAAATCTGTTTCATATATACAGCTCATTAAATTCAGATCAAGACAGATGGACGATAATGCTCGCTGTTAAAAAAAAAAAAATATTCAATTATTTTAGAAAAATATTTCCCCATTGGGTTTCCACCTGAAGATCTGGACAGATTTTTTATTGAGTCATTGGCATTTTCTTTAAAATAAGTTGTATGTGTTATACTCATTTTCTGTTTGAAATGATTTCTGATTTTCCCTTTTGGGAAGACAAACCTTTTGATATTTTGATTTTCACTTTGTTAAATGTAGATACAATCTGTAATAAAAATGTTTTCTATAAAAAACCCACTCATATACATGTTAGACCCATATATAATAATATGCCCTCAAAAATGCTACTTATACAACTTCTTGATTGTGAGATGTCAGTCATCTAACTGCATAAAAAAAGAAGAAAAGAAAGAAAAACATAGAAACCATCCTGCAGCCCCATCTAGTGCATAAGTGAGAATACTTCATCACTGGAAAGTGTAAAGCTGGTATTATTTTAGGTCAGGACTTACCAAAACACGACCCATGAGGTTATGGTACACATCTCGAAGTGGTATAAAAAGCCACATTACCATATTTTCTATTTAAAGTCTGGTAAGACAGCTGCATGGTGATTTGCATGACATTTCAGAGCTTTAGGGTCAGATACTGGTCCATTATCCATCTGAATAGTTAAAAGCATGCACTGTGACTCCTCTTTAAGATTGTTTTATCTTCTTTTTGGCATAATATAACCCCTTCAAAAAGATTGTTTTTATCAAAGAGAGAGCGGAGCAAAGTTAATTATCTCAAAAACGAAACAAGCAGAGCACAACTTTCAAGGGCTTGGATGTTAGCAAAGTAGCAGGTGGTGGTGGGAGAGCTGAACTGTCCTCATTTTCAGTCTCACACCAAAAGCCAGTCTGTTCCAAAACTCACACACATCAGAAAATGCTTCAGAAAAATCAAAAGTTGATTTGTATTCACGATGTGCTTTAGAATCATTTTTTCAATGTAAGACAGGTGAGTGAAGCATGGGGCTTCTCTGCAGGAGAAGTTCAGACCAAGCCGTGGATGAGGGCAGCTGGAGCCCTCTGACCCAGTGAGTTTGGGCTGCAGCATGTCCAGAGCTGCCATTGCTCCATCTCTCCTGTGAGCAAACAGCAACAAGGCAGCAGAGCTTCACCTCCCTGTGCAAGCTCTGGCCGTGTTTGGGTTTCATCACAAAAAAATTAGGAAGCTGAGGAAACATTAATCTGTGTGTAAGCAGAACACATGCAAGAGAATGGAGAACTGAAAGCCAGCGTGGACCTGTAGTTAATTCATAGTTCAGACATACCCAAAGATTCCCAAATGCTATTTCCAGATTCAGTCAATGTTAAGAACATTTGGAAATTTCACTCAAGAGGGAATTTGGGTCTTTGGGTCTCAAAAGATATTATTTGTTTCATCAAAAAAGATGGGACAGATGGAAAGGGCCTGATGGCTTGTGTAGTATAGGTAAAAATTCTCCTTCCTGAAGCAAAGTTTTAAATTTGTCAATTTTCTTCACTTTTCTTCCCTCTAAAAGCCACTGCCAAAGGACAATTTAATGGGATTTACAATACACTGAAAGTACCGCCACCACGCATTACAGAACTGTAGTAACGAAGCCAGGATACTTATTTTCAACCATTAACGTATTTTCTAATCCTCAGCGAAAAGTCAGGGAGAGTATCTTCAGGCTGAAAGCCTGAAGCCTAAAAAAGCTCAGGTGATGGAAATAGATTTCTGTTGCCTGAAGTCCAGTAAAAATCAGTCAACTGTCTTCTAGTTATCCAAGAAGAGGAAAGAATTTTTAACCTCAATGAAAAAGTTCAATCTACTCAAACTAACTAAATAACAAAAGGCATACAGAAAAAAACCCATACTTGTTTGAAAATAATCCCAAATACATCATTTCTCCCTCATTATAATTCTGAGATTGAAATTTACATGCAGGTGCAGGGGAACTGTGAGGCTCTGCTCTGGGTAATCCCAACAGAACTTTCAATTTTTAGTTACAGACCCCAGTTGTTAGATGCAAACTTATGCACCTAAGGTATTTTAAGGCCCCCACAAACCTGGCATCTACAATCAAAATGGAAGTGAGATGCATTCAGGAGGCATTTTCAGGCTCTCTTTTGGTCAGATATTCCACTCCTATTTTCATCTGATGTTCTTTTCTTCCCTTCCTCCTCTATTCACTCCCATTCTCAGTCACAGCGATGCAGAGGTAGGTCATGCCACTCAGAACTTAATTTCCATGCACAGAATTTCCAGCAGCATCTTCTTGCTGCTTCCAGAAAGGTACTTTACGATTTCATCAAAAGAACAAATCTTCAGCTTGGCTTCAGTATAAACACAGCTCCAGTGATTTCTCAAACACCTATCGATTTTCCACTTCAACTTTTCCTCATAGTTTAAGAAGGTATTATTTCATGCATTCTACATATGAAATTCAGAAAACTCACTTCAGAATACTATGACTGCAAAAACATAAAGCCTGGTTATGCACTCAAAAACTGCTTTTCCCTCTTTTGAGAAGACTGGTGGACAAAATTCCTGTTGACGTGGGAATATTAACAAGCCTGAAATTCAGTGTATGGCTACTATAGATGGTGCAATGTTTTAGAGAGATACCTATGCTACCTCTGAACAAACCACAGGTTATATTGCATTGCATTTGCCCTAAATGCCTTGCCTAACTGCTGTTCTCATTATTAATTAATAGCTTAACTGTTATTAGTGAGCATTTAAATATCAGGGAATTCAGAATACCTTTTCCCAGCCCCAATTTCCTGCTGCTTTGTAGAGGAAATGTTTACTTCTTCATGGAAATAATCACTAATCTTTCTGGTCTTTGACTCGTATGACTTATTATCTTGATATTCAGTTCCTGACTTCACTGAAATGCCTGTTGACCACCGCTTCAATAATTTATTTCTCCTACAGCTTATTTGTCATGTACAATTGTTATTTCAGGAGATGGACTCACAAAGTTTTGAAGTTACATGATAGTTTCATATCATTCTCACTGACGCAGTGCCTAAGCAGCCATCAAATACAGATGAAGAAAATTTTCTTTAATTTGCCACTGCTGACCCCAAGACGTAGACTTACAATGCTCTACCTGTTCTGCAATAACTTAGTCTTCAAACAATGTAAGGTATATTACTTTGCTCTAAATGATCTGCCAAAAGAAGATGCAAGCACAAATACAAACCTGCACTGTGACAGTGAAAGCCTGAATTTCCTTCAGTATCCTTATGCTTACAGTATATCCTGCTCCATCCACTGACTTTTCTATATAGATACCCAAAGCCCCTCTATCATACAACATGCAGAAAGGTCATCTGCAACACAGGTTAGGATAGCAGGATCCCAATGTTCAGAGGAACGTAGAACACATTCCTCTGTGCCACAATCCTGATGCCTTACAGAAGATGGCTAAGGTTCAGTTTGAACAACGTAAGTGGATCAAGAACCTTGTAAAAAAAGGCAGCCTTTTAGTTTACAACTATATGTAAACCTAACTGCAAGTACAATCAGTCACACTATCATGGTGCATATTCTTCACAAAGATATCAACCTCAGACACACTATGTAACTGAAATGAGAAATCAGTCCACAACTCCAGGTGTAGCAGCACATGTGAACGCTCATCTAGCACAATCTCTGGACATTTTTTACGTACAAGCTGACACAGGAAACTGGATTCCTCCAGTATGCCACTGAGACACGCTTTGGTGGCCATGATTGTAAGTCTAGCAAAAGTTGGTACAGTAACTGTATCGACAGTCTGGAAACTATCACAGAAAACAGTGCTTAAAGTTACCACATTTCTGATACATCTCACTAGGATACAAAACAAAACCATCATACCAGTAGTCATAACTCTCATCCCAGTTGTCAAAATGAACCAGAAAACGATTGTCCACCATGTCTGTTACCGTAGCAACACAAATGAAAGTCGGGTTCTTCTTGTCTACAGCTTCCAGCTTCATCCCCACACGAAATCCCGACGGAATCACTGTCTACATAGAGAAAGACATTTAATTGAAGATAAACACTATAAATCCAGAAATCTCCCCAGTGTCCACAATCAATATATTCATGTCATTTCTAAGTTTCCCAATTAGCTGCCCCAACAGAGTGGCAGCAGCCTAATTAGTTGACATGAGAGATGCTCAAATACAGAGACTCGTGGTTTATGAAATAAAAAAGCCCTAAACATGCTACTAAAATTAAATGTGTTGGTTTTAACTCTGTCTTAGACATTCTCTCTAAAAGACCGTGCCTGTTCCAAAACATTATGATGCAAGACACAGTACTAATAACAAGTCTTAAATTTCATTTAATACACCATTTCTGAATATGCCAGATCAGATGTTTAAACAGGTTAGTAAAAACTTAATGGATCAGAATTACAGAGGTGAACTGAAGCGGAGATTGTTATTCAATTTGTTGTAAACATTTTTATCTTAAATTTCAGGTCTCGAGTCTGTCATCACTGAAACATGCTGTGAGTCTCTACCACACACATGAGCATACTAGCAACTTTCTACTCCATTTGTAACAAACGAATACTTACTGCATTCTGGTTTTCAAACAGTGATTTGGGTGCAGCTTGAGCTTTGCATGCCTTCAGATATGAGGGCCAGCTGAATTCTTCTTCCTTATATCCTAAATGAGGGTCATAAAAGAAGGGCAAGAAATGACAGGCATGAGACACGAAGTGCATGCAGGTGATTTGATCATAATTGATGAAATTATTTTTTCCACCCAGTTCTGAGCTGTTTCTTACCATTTCAAAACTGAAAAGATTAGGCACCGTTAACTGTTTATTACGATTTTATATAAACTACACTGGGAAAATTTACTTTAAAACTATGTATTAATTCTACCCCAATATGAACTCAATGAGTCTCTGCACAAGCACTGGTTTGGATTATTAGAAATTTTAGCAGAACAGACCTTACAGTAGCTTACAGAGTTCAAAAGAAAGTTGATGAAGCTTTTCTATTTTTATTTTACAATAGTATGGTATTACAAAGAGGAATCCTGTTCTTTATTTAGGGCTGGCTGAACTTTTTTACCAAAATGTCAAGCTTTCTTTACACTAACTGAGCAAAATACTCTGCTTTCTTGAGCTGCACAGTATTAGTTTCTTATGGTTGGCTAGGACTGACATTTGAACTGTTCCTAATCTTCACCTGGGAGAAAGAATAGTCATATAAATGGGCAAAAACTCAGGCAATTTCAGCTGAGTTTCAATTTCACCTTCAAAACAAACTGGGAGCATTTCTTACAAAATCACTGCTCTATCCCTGGTGTCCGACCTTGCAGTCCTGGCCATCAAGAGACCTGAAGGTCCTCAAGGGGCATAACATCTAGGGGCAGCCTAGAAACCAAAATCCCTAATTCCACCAGATATCAAAGAATCAGTCTTAGTAAGACATCAATTTTCTACTACAATCTCCCTCCCTTTGAACAAACCTCTCCAAGTGGCACAGGCTACAAGTCACCTCTCTGTCTCTCCCCAAGAAAACAACACCTTGCCACCTCTCTGCCTCTTAGGTACCACTAACTTCCCTTTGGTGGTCTGACTGACACAGACACAACCAACAAGTTGGGGACAAGTGCTTTCCAGCTGCTTTTCAGTCTGTTGCTTCTACTTCAGAAACGGCAAAGAGCCCACAGGCCCCAAAGCTCTTCCCATTACGCCAGTCAGTCTAATTAAAAAATATTCCCTCTTCCTACAGACTTTACCCTGCTATGTCCTCAGGCTATCACTAACACAGCATAATCACTACTAGCTTTAAAACAAACTCCCTAGGTTATATTAAAACAGTTGCTTACACCATCAGTGCCCCAGGACCCCTTATGCATCTACAGTGTAAACTGTCCCCTGCATGGACTTTCTACATTTTTTATTCTATGCGTACAGCACTTCGAAAGAAACCTAAATTTCTGTTGAACCTTTGCGTTTTCTAATTTCCTAGGAAAACAATAATTCATAATATATTGAACTGCATAAAATAATTCACAAGAAACCATTGGTACTTCTAATCTATAAAACAATGCTAAGAGTTGGAAGCAAATAGTTGTCTTCCTTCGTTCTCCTGTTAAATAATAGTTATGTAAACATTTATTTTAGTTCATATGTTACAATCCACTAAAACAAGACCAAAACCACCGTGAATTTTAGTGAGTCACTGCCTTTACTGAAATGTGTCACCTCTTGACTATTTGAAGTGTTACTCAAATATGCCTCAGACAACAGCTCTGTTTAATCTTCTCAGAATCTCGCATTTTCCAAGGAACCATATGTGAAGAATCCTTTAACTTCCCCTTCTCCCGATCTGGCTTTCTCACTTTTCATTTTAAGTATTAGCCAACATAAATTAACCTCCATGTCCAAACAATGGTATTTTTCTTTATACTACAGTTGCCTCTTGTCTTGATACACTATAGCTGTAGACCAGTTGAAGCCATTTCTGCCCAAGCTTGCAGGAACAATTAACTGGGGCCACACTGCACAGAAAGGCAGCAGGAGCATCTGCTTCTTTATCAGGCCACCAGGTTCCAAACAGTTTACAGTTTACACCGTAAAGGTCATAAGTTTGCATTGTATCTGGAAAACAAATGGTTACTAATGCAAACCTTTGAGTTCTTCTGTGAGGTGGTATTTTATATAAGATACTGTGCCCTATGTCATTACTGATATCAGCTTTAGTGTTCATATGATTTGCAATGGACGCTAAAAAGAAATCACTATTAAAGTGTCATACCACAGCAAAACATAAGCAATCTGTCCAACCCAATAAAAATGCACAAAAAGCCTCAACAACCTAAGACTAGCACCTTCTCCTTCCCCTCAGAATAACAGAACTCCAGATATCAGTAAAACGTAAGTAGTGAACGCCCTCCTGCTTTTTTTTCCTGCTGAAAAACTAGAAAAAGTGTGTTTAACTGATGAACAGCTGGTTGCCCTCAGCCTCCTTCCAACGCACGACTCTACCATACTGCTTGTTCTTTCCTGTTCTTCTCTCCCACGTGCAAGCTCGGACAACGGAAGAAGTCCCACAAGTACAAGAGCAGGTTTTGGCAATCACACCATACCTCATCAATGGTGAAATGGTTTTCTGCTGAGGTGAAGTGACAGGGCCAAGTCATACAAACGGCAGAGTACTTCACAGGTCTTGGATAAAAATACCAGAGAACAGCCTTGCTATCCAAAATCAGTAATATGTCTTGGGGATAGTAAGATTCCATGGCTGTGCAGGATAAGAACGAGATTCCTGACAATTATCTCCATGTATGCCCTTAACTCTTCTCCCTCAACAGCCTCTGATAGGCTCCATGACTTTCCTAAGTAAAAAGACCTATCCATTGCTGCAGTATGGTGAAAAAAAAAGGCAAAACCCACAAAAGAACAATCTTCCCACCAACTTAAAACTGGAAGAGAAACTGAAGAAACTTTTGATGAAAGTGACTCAGACAGTAACTCTCCTCCAGCAGCAATATTTCATTGTTAACAAAAGCTTAAGCTTTCTAAAGCAGGCATTTAAGATGGAAAAGATGACAAACCTTCATCACAGATCTAAAACTAAGAAGCATGCTGTAGTAACATCAATAACTCTATAACTGGGGACTACTCAATTGCTGCATGTAACTTACTACTTCAGTGGAGGCCAACCTCCTGAGAAATTCTGATTTATGTTCAAGAAATGTCTATTTCTGCCTGGCCTGTTAAGCAGAACTATGCCCGTACTGGACCAGCAGCACAGAGCACTCATGCCCTGTAACCAGAGTGGAGCTTGCAGAGCGAGGAATGAACCTTCTTCACACTCCTCGATGGCTCAGTTGCAGAAACGCCATCCTCTCCCCGACTGGCTGGCCCTCTGCCTCTACACTTCCAGTGGATTTACTCTCACCTTCCACACCACAGCAGTTACATCCACAGTTCTATAATTCTCCATAATGCATCCTCTTGACTCTGTACACTCATCATTTTGCAGCCTTTTGAAACCACATTGTCCTACCCTCACTGTGTATGTCAAAACACCACATTCATTTATTTCTCACTCTTCTGTTTTCAGGACTTGCTTCGTTCATCCCCACATATTCCCTCCCTACCCCAAAGGGACCCCATTTATCCCTTGTTTCATGGCACAGTTCAGCGCAGATGCACTCCATCTGCCAAAATAAATGATTTACATAATCAGAAATAGAATAATTAAGCAAGAAAATTACACATATTTCAACGCGTGTATACCATTTACATAAGCCATGTACAAACGATGCTTTCAGGCTTGTAATCTGACCATTTTTTCTCCCTTCTTATTTGTTCATTCCTCTTTTTGTCTCTATTTCAAGCTAACTTTTTGTGGCAAGAGCACAATCTTTTATGAGTCTGTGCCAACACACAGACAATAATAGTGATCAATATCTAGTAATGAAAATGTTCTAATACCTTCCACTAAAGGATTTTCAGCTGCCTGTGAGATCTCAGTTTAAGCATCCATGTCAGCAGTACGCTGCCATTTTACTTGCAATAAGCATTCATTTGGGGTCTAGGTTTGTTGCTTAACTTTCTTTCCTAATGCCTTACGAATTACTCTTATGGTTTTCTTGTTCTCTCTGGATTTCCAATGAATAAAAAAGGTAGGATTTCAACCTCAAGATTTTAGCAAGACTTAACATAGAGTTTAATTTGCCATGTTCAAACACTCTGACTAAATGAGTAAGAAAAGTTTCTGCCAAAAAAATAATTGCAGCATTATACAGAAGCCTTGATCTCAGAGCTATGGAAAACACACACATTTCATACACACAATACCTTTAGGTGGATGAAGCTTGTGACCTGTTTTCTCACACCATCCCACAGGATGAATATCTGAAGAATCAGCGTTCACCCAGAAATCGTAACAATCTGGGTATCCATCGAAATGGAGTCGTATTCTGTAGCCACAAACCTACAAGCAAGAATATACAACATGCAAGCTGTGTTTAAAGATGCTTGCCCTCCACATAACAGCTTCTGTTCAGTATTACATACAATAACAGTGTGCTTTAAGTCAGCCTTTTACTTCTGCTCAAACCTGAACTGGATGAATAAATTCATTTAATAAAAAGGAAAGAATAAAAAGTAAAGCTATTCACAGTGTGAGTGCCTCCTCTTCTGGTGAAAAGAATTAACTAAAAGCTGGATATTGCCATTAGTGTTAAAAAGCTTGAAAGCTGTTCAACCCAACATCAGAATAAAACAGAAACCCTACAGAAGACCATGAATACATCTGATAAAATCATGCAGAAAACACAGATAATGATACTCTCACGCTATCCCAATTAATCAATATGCAATAGAGCACTCAACAATAACTATGTTCAACAGGCCCTCCACAGAGATACTGAGAACTGTTATTAAAGATGAGAAGTCAGTGGAGGTATCCTCCAGAACTTCTTTATTCCATAAGGTAGTAAGTTAACCACCCAGAGAAAAACAGGACATACAATCCCTCCCTCTCTGCAAAAGTTTTCCACATCTTCCCAAGTGCCAAATGCCATAACTTTCCTACAGTCATCAGTAAAAGTCTCTTGACATCAAGGTCACCTTATTTTATATTTAATTTATACTGACAGAACTTTCAGTTTGCCATCTTAGAATTATGTGGAATTCAGGTCATCCTGCAGTAAAACATGACCCATCACTTAGTGACAAGCACAAGGTACACAGGAAATACTCAACCACTGACACACCAGCCATAAGAAAATGAAAGAGATATCCACAGAAGTGGCATATGACTGTGGACCACGAAGAGATCCAGATATGGCAAAACAAAAGCCTAGGCTATAGAAATATCAAGTGGAAAATTAGAGCTGCTTAGAATAACAGTGATACAGAGAAGAGTACCTACCCTATTCCTGTTTCCCCATTTTAATTCACAAAGCAAAACCAAAAAAAAGGATTCTTGGTAAAACTATGTAAGAACTGACGTAAGGTATATTTGAAAGACAGAAAAAATGTAACTGAGAAATGGGTTCTCATTTGTATTATTAAAAGCAAAGAAACTACTCATCAATAAAATTACATCATAAACTGCAGCAAAAAGACAAACTGAGTTCATATGGTATGCTAATTTGTAGAAGTTGCCAACACAGGCAATTTCTGAGGCCAGCAGTCTGAAAAAAACTGTAGCACAACTGCAACACAAAAAAGTGTTAGGCATTCGTATCAGTGAATTGAGCAACTGTAAATACTATCAAACCTCTATAAAACCACTATAAGTTAGTTGTCATACTATTATTTTTTCTACTTATTTTTTCTTTAAAATACAAACTACAGGATTACAGAAAAAGCACACATCATCCAATTATCATAATACATTTTCTCTAGCTGCATACATGAAGCGTATGTAAACAGTCACCGCTACATGGTACTGGACATAGTCACCACGTGTTTGTCAGGTAGATTTAACACAGCGCCATTAATTTAAAAGCTATTGTCCTACATATAGCTTCTGTCTGCCTGCTAGGGAAGAGCAAGCGCTTTCTGTTGCTGCTGTTCAGTCTCTGCTGTAATCCTGCACCATGGCTGCTCGCAGCCTCCACTTACCTCAGCCACCGTGAGAACACAGTATATTGACTGGTGCTCAGGATCCACGCCCTCCAGTTTCATCCCTACTTTGAATCCATTTTTGTTGTACGGGAAAGATTGATACTGCAATGGAAACGAACAGTTTCAGTCCTTCCGAAGGTATACCAGAGAAAGACACAATATCTTTATAAGGAAAAGAACAATGATTATTTATTATTCATGTTTCTGAAACAACTAATAAATTGCTTTAAAATAAGTTTTGCATTTTTAAAAACATACTGCGGAAAACAGAAATTTATGGTTGTTCGAAAAACACGTTGATACTAGAATGACTTATGAAATTTGAAAAGAATTAGCAAAAAACTCATCCAAGGGAAAGAAGAAAGCGTGATTTGCCCTCAACTTTTCCCTTTAATTGTCAATAAAACATTTTAACGATGTAATTGTTTGTTTTTCAGCCTGTACAGTGACACTTTGACCTGGTGGTCATCATTCCTATAACAATCACAACAGCGATGCTCTATTTTGCCTTTTCATTTCCACAACTCAGGCCATCAAAGACAAACTGCGAGGCAGAAATACAAAACATTGTTTATATACAGGGATGGCCTCTTTGATGCCATCTTCTTCTTTCTATGTCGGGTCTCAACTAGCTAATTTTCCAGGAATAGTTTGCATCACAGGAACATGACTACCCTCGTATCACATTACAGTGAACCCAGAAGAACATCTTTCAAAAAAAAAAAGAAAGTGAAAACAAAGCTAAGCGGAAAGGATGTTTGCAATCAGAAGACATCAGTGGGCCCTGTCTTCTGTTAAAGAAGGAAGGGAGCTAGCCAATACTAAGGTTAAAGCGGAGGGAATATCAGAACAAAAATTAAATAAAGCTGAAGAGGGTTTCCAGAAGTTACAGCTTCTGGATTCACAGCTAGACAGTTTTTATGTCCCAAATGGTTACAGACAAAAAAAACCAACACAGGAGAAGCATCTTATATGCTCCCTCTTCCTTCTGTTCCAGCCTAAAATGTACACATGCTCCTTAGCCATTTGCAGTCAATGGAAAGAGAAGGGTACCAAGGGAGGTACTCAGAGAGGTCTCACCTACTTGGAAGGAAGGGAAGCCTCTCTTTGGTGGCTTTGGCTGCAACTGAATAATAAACCCAGCAGAAAAAAAATGCAGTGCACGGCACAAGAGCAGGAATATGCAGTCAAGGAGAAGGGAAATGGGAGAAACAGAGCGGTTTAAATCAGCCTGAAACGGCCAGCTAACATATGTCTAACCACACCTCTAAGTCCTTATCTAAAAATAGGTTAGATCATCTTGTAGACCTCAGTTAAGGGTTCAGACTATCTCACTGCAGTACATGCATTTGAAAAGTTATTTCATCCTAACATCACCACACTTAACATTTTTATTACCAATGAAAGTTTAATGATGTTACACTATGCATAATTCTGGCTACTTCCTCAAGAGGTATGTAAAAGCAGAGCTTTTTTTTTTTTAAAAAAAAATCAATAAATTGAAATTTTTAAAGTTCATCTTGGTGCACAGACTTGCAATTAATGCCATCTATATCACAAATACCTTACAGATAAAAAACCTCAGTGGAAAACTGAAATGCTAGAAATACTGACACGTTAGCCACATTAACACAATGGCCAAAAATATAACTCAGGTTTTGCAAAAGCAAGCACAAACAAAATTATAAAGAAAGGAAAATGTAAAAGTCACATATCTGTTTATTCTTTCATTATTATAACAGACATTACTGTACAAACAGTGCAAAATTCTACGAACAGTACACTAAATATTAAGCTATTATCACACAGGTATTTCCTGAAATTTAAGACGAGAATTATTCATTATTTTTTCCGTTGTCAAATCTAAAACTTATAAGGCAACACAATCATCAGTTTGGTTTCTGTTACAGCAAAGTAACAGGCAACTTTTAGAAGACTAATAACTTTAATACAGATTTCAATTTTGTGCATTATTCTCAATACATCACCCAAGGTAAAGCTATGAAAAACTTAGTAATCACACATTATTTTCACAACAAACATTTGAAGATACTTTGTTAAGGAGAGATATAAGAACAAAATAAGAGTAAAGGTAAACGGAGTCAGGAAACAATCAGACAGCAGACTGAGGATTAGAAATATTTATGGCAAGAACATACACAAAACCTGAGTGATTACATGAGCAGAGCTGGAGATTGAAAAAAACCCCAACATTCAAGGGTTTTTGACCCCAACCTCTTAATGCAACAAAGGGTCTATAATTTTATTTTACTGGAGCAGTAACAGCTTGTCCATCAGAGCCTAGAAATGACTCTAAGATTTAAGTACCAGGAAGTGCCAAGTACTCTCCATGACCCTGATCATTCCTAACGAAGGGTCCAAAAAAACACTGTGAAAAGTAGTGCTTCTGAACTGGAAAAATAAGAAGAAAAAAAAAAATAAAAAAAGGTAATTTTCACAATCCATACAGAAATCAAGGATTCAAAATTGGTGGTGATGTATGGTGGGAGTTTTTTTAACCTTACTGTTCCTGCGGCTTGCTTGTCCATCTGTAAAATGGAAAAATATTACCTGGCCACTTCTGAGTGCTACTAAGAATTCTGTCTCTGCTACAGACTTTAAATATCACACACTAAATAAAACCCTACAGTTACCCAGGGGCTAAAGACTTTAAAAGAAAATATTAAATAAGATGCACTGAATGAGAAACGTACGCTGTGGAAAGAAAGAAAGAAAGGAAACAGTCCATCACCATGCAGCTCCAGACTACCACTGGGTGCAGTGCCCAGAAAGGCTGGTATATGCCTGTGTGCCGCAAGAGCATTTCATGGAACTTCAGACAGGCAGAGAGCAACGCTTTGTAAATCTACTTTCCAGACAGAGCCACTACTTACCTGGATTTTTTTGTCCCCTTTTCAACCAGTATATAGCACAGGGGAATATAACTAAGGATAGTCAGGGAACTGTTGTTCTTGCACCTACAAATCTATAGATACTCTACATTGCAATCCTAGGGTTTTACTTCTGTACCTCAGTAATGTCTAAAAGCACCGATTAAAGGTCAGCATCACCTGCATATGCAAGCTGAAAAGCTAATCCCTGCACAAAAGATTTAATAGTTGAAGTATAAGGCAAGCAAAAAGAAACAGATGCAAGAAAGAGGCTACAAGTATGAAGAGAATTATCAAAAAATAATACTGGATATACATAGCAGAAGTACAGCAGCTGAGACATGTTCACATGTTTTGCCAGGTTTTGCAAGAGAAGAGAAAAGCGTGCAAGCTTTGTGGATTTGCATACAGAGCTCTCTTCCAAGCAAGAGAGACAGCACTAGAGAAAAGCAATGAAATGACAAATGACAAAGACTACCATAGCAGGCAAAGGACAAGCAAGAGATGATGATGTGACATCTAATCAGATGACAGGCAAAATGGGAACAAGCCAAACTAGTATCTGATGTAGTAAAACAATATGTCAGCAGTAGCTGCAAAAAGACAGGTAATATAATCAAAGCAACAAGCCAAAATATGACCTTTGTACCACCTTTCTAAACATATTTAAAGAGAATGATATGGCATGAAAAAATGAGGGAACATATCAGACTTTTAGCTTCAGAGATTAGAAGGAAGGCTTGAACATGCAGGTTTTGGAAAAGCATCTGCTTTCTGTAGTCTCAGTTGACAGCATTCATCTAAAACCACAGAATTCTTTGAAAAAGCAGAGAAAGATAACTAGTTTCACACATTCTGACTATCTTGACGATTGCTGATGGATAGCATTGTTTTAATCAGGTAGGTTTTACCCCTGAGAGGTGTAAAATCTTCAAATTACTTTTTTTTTTTTTAACAATGATATCCTAAAAATCTCGTGATCTTAGGTGGCTGATTGACTTCAACTTCAGAAGGTCATACCTCTTTAAAAAGCTTAGTAGGTACTGCAACAGCCTTTTCTTCCTCCAGATAGGAAGCCCAACACCACACTTGCCTTCCTTTAGATGGTACAGCTGTAAAGAAGCATACAATAGCAAAAGAATTCTGTAACTGTTAACTTCTCAAGAAATAAAAAAACTAACACTTTGAAGTTTATAATATTCATATCGTATCTCAAATCTACATTTTATTAAATGTATTCATGGTGTTTCTCAGGACCTACTTCACAAAAAGAAGTAGCTCTGTAGGTTTAAGAGCACCAGGAACATGAAGGTTCCTGGTTTGTATAGGAAGGTTTCCAGCAGTTCAAATCTTGATTAGTAACAAGAAAAAGCTCTGTCAGGTGACAAGAACAGCTTACAAAGTCTTGCACTCTGCCCCTTTTACCTTATTGCTCATAAGAAGCATTGTGATGCCCCATTTGTAAATGTATAAAATGATCTGTTCAAATCACAAGTAGCACAATATTTATTTTTTTTTCCCCTGAGAATTTCTTTTCCTGGAAAGCATTTTCAACTGGATAGAACTTGTGACACTTTTTTTAAAATCGTAGTTGAAATACTTTATTCTTTGACAGTATTCAGAATGTTTCTAACCTACTCCATCACTTCGTAGTTTGAAGTTTTTGGGTGGAGAGGCAGCGATTTAACAGTAATTTCTCCAAGCCATCAAAACTGTCACCAGTGCTTTTTTCACGTCATTAGCATACGATAGAAACCTCCAGTTTCAGGTTTGTTCATATAGTATGAACACTCGCATACACTTGCATAGTAATTGTAATATTGGCTACAGTCCATCTTAATATTGGCTACAGTCACATCAGCGAGTAACAGTTTTTAGGCCTTGAAAACGAGGCACTAACTGCACTAGCAAAAGCCAGGAACTTCAAAACCAGATGGCTTGTGAGGCTGGCCATGTATCTATCTACTTTCATACACCTCCACTCTGCTCTACTGATCTTCACCTAAAAAGCCTCCTCTGCACATGCAGCTTAGCATTTCAGACCATAAGCTCATACTGCCAGAAGGATTCCTCACAGTCCACAATTTGATTCTGGCCTGATCCTGACTGTGGGCTACTCACAAGAGAAACAGCCCCTTAAGTAACAGTCTGTCTAAGCATTGTTATGATTAAAACATGAACTGCAGCAATAATGATGCCAGACTCTCCTGAAGCAATGTAACCAAAAGATAACAAATTTCAGAATCACAGCGATCGCTCAACACTATTAAAGCACATTCACTTTATTTTTGACTTACCCAGTTTTTATCTATTCCACTTAAGAGATGTGTTGCTCAGCACAATAATACACAGTTACATGCTTGGTTCTGAATATAAATTGGTCTTTTATATAAAAAGTCTTGTGCTGAGCTGACATTTTCCCAAATGAAAAAAACAGAAGAAATCCATACAGATCATTCTGTCAGTGGACAGCAGTGATTTTCACAGAGCATCAGCTTTGTGCTTGTATTGCACACACTTCTTATCATCTCAGCTTTGGAAACAACTGTAGAAATAATATTTATATTTCAGGAGTAATTCTATCTCGGTAGGGGGATCTTCTATAACTTTTATGTGCGGCATCTTCAGTCAGTATTTCATCTGCCTAGTGTGCAGCAGACCTACTTGGAGCCCTGTGCTGATTAGCGGCCCAGCAACTTCTGGTAATGGCTCCCAGTCTACCATAAGAAACATTTTGGAGGGCAAGATGCAGGTTTGTGCTTGGTGTATCACTCAGGTATAATAGCTGCTGATTCTCTGATTCTTCCTCAAAGTACCTTTCATACAAACAGCTTGAAAAAACAATACTCATTTAAAATATGTTTTATTATGCTGCTTGATGCAGCATATGTCCCTTTGGACTGATTATAGCAATTATTCCTAAACAGTTCCATAAATGTGTCTATTTCCACCACATACTGTAGATACAGAATTGATCCCCAAGGAAACAAAAGTAAAATATCACTTCTGCTTAATATATGTCTTTCAACATCCGGGAACTCAATGGACCTGATTCCCTTTAATACCAGCACTCTTTAGAGGGATGAAAAAAACACCTAAAATGTGCATCAATTACATATACACTCACTATATCCTCCTCCACATTGCCAGAGGTATATAAACTGTAAAAGGTAATCAGTCTCCCAGTGACGGTGGTTTTTCCCCAGCTTTCACTTGGCTCTCAGTTCTTCAAGCCTTAAAACTTAATTGCTATAAATAACACTGGCACTTTCTTTTTAAAGAACTGACAAAAATGTATTCAATAGGGAACACAAATTCAGTGAAACGATACTGGCAATTCACAATAAGAGACAGATATTACCTGAAGAACTGATAGTTGAGATTTTTGTTTCATAAACTAACTTACTTTGTTTCAAAACTGTTATATCCCCTTTTCTTTTTCTCCTGGCTCTCTGTGAGACTCTCAAGATCCTTCCTTCAGGTTTGTCCTCCTAAATTAGAAAAAGAGTACAACAATCTCATTAGTTCAGAAGTCTAATACAGTAAAAACCGAGACACCCAAGCTTTAACTGTGACTTCATTTACATGTCTATTGACATAGCTCTCCACTATCTTAAACAAACCTGCAGATGTCCAATAAAAACAAAGCGAGCCATCAGTGACAAATCACAGCAAGCCCGCTGAAAATGACAGAGGGACTCTCAACAGCCAGCACTCAGCCAGCCAGCCTTGTCTAAACCAGGGGTAGATCACAAAGCCTTCAGCAGGCCTGGCTGAACCAGAGAGAAATAGCAGTATCTTTGATATGTTCGTGTTTCCAAAATAATTTAAAGGAACACCTCTCACAGCTTTAATCTGCTTTTTTCAAATGTACAATTGCTTTACTAAATATAAAATGGCACCAATCCTTCTTATTTATTTAGCTGTTTTTGTGTTAACAGTTTTGTTAGCACTTGAATAGACAAACAGAGTAAGTACTCATTTGGGAGGACAGATGCATGGTGGCAAAGGTGTCCCCTGACTTTTGCCTAAGATACTGCTATACAGAGAGCTACAAATTCCCTTCTGACAACTTTAGTGTCCTCAGCCTTTAGACAATTTGACAGTTACAGAGCTCCCCCCTTCTCCCTCTAAACTGTGCTCCTCCCAGCAGTGCCACAGCTATTGAGATGAAAACAAATATTACAGGCAAATGAACGTAATGGCAAGGTACTGTGATAAGTTTATTCTAAAATGAAGCATAAATCCAAAACAAAAAAACCCAAAAGGTGTCCCAAAGCACATTACACTACCACATTAAAAAAACCCAAATCTTTAACTATGATTTTTCTAAGACAAATTACACTAAGAAAATCAATTTTCAACCGTAACGTAGCTTTCTTTGTAAATAAATTATTGGTCTATAGTCATTTATTCATGTAGAGTGACAAAGTAACAGGTGTTGGGAAATATGTACTCCTATTTTTCTACGCTGAAGACATAGCAAGTCTAGGTTAGTATCGTATTTCCTTTAAATTCTTTTTGTTCTGTTCTTAAAAAAGAAGGGAAAAGAGATTTTTAAGAAATTTAAGAAAAGCTTTTAACAGTTCATTGTCAGTAACTACAATTTACTGATGAGGCATAATTAAATTGGTAAGCAAACCAACTACTTATTGTGGCTCTGACAGCGATGCCCTCACTCCTCTATGTAGACCAATGAAGTTACTGGCCTTGCAATATAAGGCAAAACTCCCACCAAAATACTTGCAGAAATGGGTTTATGATGCATACTAACAATTTCATCGGCATTCTCTTTTTTCTCCCCATTATCCCTGGACTCTTCTTTCAGAGGTAACTTTGCTTTTCTTTTCCGAATGCCTTTGGAATCATCTTCCCCATTGCATTCCACGCTGGGCTTTTCCTCCTTTGGTTCTCTATTATGAGAGTAACACAGTGACACAAAGCCAAAATTCTTTCACTTCTCATATTCATAAAACAAGTAAAAAGTGAGTAAATCTGAAGGTCAAGTGTTGTAGGTCCCAGGGTGTTATACCAAATATATTCTTAGAAGTACTACTGAAAATTACATCTGTCAAAACAATTAATCTGAAAGACACTCAATAGCAACTGTAAAAGCAAAGTTGTCAGCTTATGCTGAACAAGTTCTGCATGTTTTAAACAGTGTGTCTTTTCCCATGTACCATCAAGTCTCACGGAGAAGCAAACTGTGAAATGTTTAGGACTGCAGGGCAGTTTACAGAAAGGAAGGCAAAGGTAATTGTTCAGACTGACAAATCCAATTGGAGAAAGCTGGTATGTGACTGTACAAATTGCTAAATAAGCAGTCAGAATAGACAACTTTGAAGCAATTAGCTAAAACCGAAGGAAAACACACAAAATCACAGATGTTAAAAACTGCCATAGTGTGGTAATACGCAATACAGAATGGACATACTAACACAAACCTTCTTCTATGATGAGATGAACTGCACTAGCGGAAAGAAAAGGAACTGAGGAACTACAGTATGCTCATGTTTTCACTCACTGTCATCTACAACACAGCTCTTGCACTTAATTATAATTAGCTTACCACACCAACCATCTCATTACTGATTATCTTATTCCAATGATTATGAAACAGGGTAGGAGTCTGACACTGATTCATGCATCCCATAGACTCTTTCACCGCTTGCATCTGAGAGCAGAACAGCGCGCTCCGAGCAAAAAAGATTGCCTTCAACATCAGCATTAGACAAAACCAAATTTACCATGTGCATTTACATGAAAAAGAGTGAAAGAACATTACAAACTGATGGAGACTCACCAAAACATGGCTCCTTAATACCTCCCTTTGTCCCATCATTAACATTTTAACCCACCACATTTATTGCATGCTGCATTTATGCCAAATTCTTTGTTTCTATGCTTTATTACAGCACTTACTTGTTTTTTACTTGCTGGGCACATTTCTGGCTGCAAAATTTCCCTTCAGGAACAAATTCTTCTATGGCACCATAGCGATAACAGTTTTCACAGAAAACAAGTCCATCCATTTTTGCAGTTTCCTTCAACCTTGTGGAGATCCCTGTCTTTTCTGAAAAGGCTGAACAACGAAAAAAGTAACTTCTCTTAGGTAGAGGCAATACATTTCCAACGATTCTCAGCAAGCTTTGCCAAGCAAACAGAAAAACAGAAGTCACACCACTCTTGCTAGAATGAAGAACTGGGAGTTAGTGCCTGTATGGGGCCTGTATTCCTGACAAGCAAGTTGGGTTTTCATATGGCAACACTAGAGAGAGGAATCCGCCGATTTCATGCTTCTGTCACCAGTGGCACATCAACACTGGTTGATGTGGCTACTTGTGGAAGGAGTGAATTTTATAACAGGCACTGCACTGACTGCCCAGAGAGTCATCACTGCACGGAGTCCATTAACTCATCTCCTGCTGATATGTCTCATTTTTTACCTATATATAGGGTCATTTGGGAAAAAGGTTTTGGGAGGAGTTATCTTTCAATAGGCGAACTTACTTCTGGAAGTAAATCACTGACTACATTCTACAGTCTCTCACAGCAGTAGCTATTGCTCAACCTGCTTCAGGTCTACCAGAAGTAAAAAATCCCTACTTTGTAACAAAGAAATTTTCAAATACTTTCAAATACTAAGTTACTTCCTCATCCTAAACTACAGTTTCCCTGTAAGAGGCATGTAGCCTAGGAGAGGATGCCGTTTCTTTCTCACAGGCAAGTATGAAGCACTGTCAAGTTCTCCAGCTTCCAGAGCAGGTTGTTCACTTTGCACCCCCGCAAAAGGCAAATTTCAAGTCACAAACTATTTCTTTTGCTTGAGCATTGTACCGTCTTTGAAAGCGAAGTCAAATGAACTCTGGTGTGCAGACTATATCTACTAGAGAATATATAATTTATGTGCTATATTTATATTCCAGCATCATTAGTGGTTCAAAACAACTATTTTCTCTCTCAATGAAAAATTTTAGCAATATTTTTATCTCTGGGGAGCATTAAATTAATCAAGGACAGTGTAAGGTAGCAGTATGATGCTTACTTGGTATGTTTATGTACCCATAAACGCACTTTAATTCATTAGTAACATTTTATTTTTTTTTAGGTTTACCAGACCGTAAGGGATGAAGTTGTACACTTTACTGTAGGTAACTGTCATCTCTCAGTCTAAGGAGAGAACCTGCTGCGCTACTACGCTATCACACTGTTGCCACTCTCATCACAGATTTCAATCATGAATAACTATCATTGCCTTGGAGACAGCCCTACAGAACAGAGTAGCTGCAGTCTGAAGCTTCAGACCTCACAGCTGAGGTCCAAACTACTTTCCCACTGGTGTAAATGCTTTACCTATTCATAAAAATCACATGACAAGACTTGATGGTGGGGCAGTAGCAAAGGAAAACTTTCATTGACTTTCCTTATCATGCTTATACTGATGATTATTAAAGCAAAATTCTGAAGTCTGCTTTTCAAAGGACTTACATAATGCAAATTTTAAAAGGAAATTGATAATACAATATCAACAAGGAAAATCACACTAGGTAGTTGTAGGTATTTGCAAAACCAGTTGTGATATTCTCTTTCACGCTACTCTGTCATTGCTGGAGTCAGTGTATCAAAATTTTCAGAATTTATGACCACGTGAACCACCTTTCCTTGCACAAAAACGGTGTTTCCTTATATCAGTATCTTAAATCCACAAAACACCTTATTTGGTAGACAGATACTACAACTATTAACCATTCAAGATAAACATAAATGGTTACTACACACTAATTTTAATACTGTAAAAAAGCATAGTCAGCACGAGCAAGGAAGTAGTGCAGACATACACTGACATCAGTGGCAGCAGCTGAGCAGCAGCCAACATCATATGAAGGCAGTTTACAGTGCGTGGTACTTGGGTCACAAATGAACTCTAGGCAGTTAGTAAAGTCTGTGGGCAGCCTGGAGAACCAGCTCAACAAAAATAACATCTAAAAAATTCTCAATAATTTAAACTAAGAAATTTACTATTTTCCAAATTAAATAGGTGGAAAATAGTGATTCTAAACTTAAAAAAAATATTGTTATAAAAAACTGTGACTGTAATTGAACTTCAGAGTTCTAACAATGGAATTATTTCCTTTTAACTTAAGATGCATTTACTTTCATACTTATTTACACCCCAAGAAATAGGTAACATCAGAGATAGTCTGTGCATTAAAGGAAATAAGGGTTTTTTTGTATTTTTGGGGGTAATCTTTAAGAAAAACTGATATATTAAATGAAACAGTCTACCACAGAAAACCTTTACTGCCTCTTAACTGACCTTCTTGAGCAGTCGGAACCATCCAGGTTGTGGTAGCAGTTGCCTTTTTAACACTTTCCATCTCAGTTTCATCTGTAATCACTTCCAGGGCCCCAAATTCATTCACTCTAAACTGTAAGACAAAACAAACGGCATAGAGTATAGTAAAAATTTACTAATACTCTCTTATGATGTCTTCTTTTGTTCACCAACATAGTTTTTACATGGTGTCCTCACCGTATTATCTAATTTCTATGTGTTTCTGCTTATCCCCAAGGAATTGGAAACAAGTCTTCCCTGTTTCTTTCAAGCAAAATGTAAACTCATTTTGTTATCAAAAAATATTAAGTTGCTATAGATATTGATAGAGATGCCTCCACATGCAGATCGATATTTAACTTACGCACAAGAACCAAAAACCCAGTAACAGAAATTCACGGGAAAATCTGCTAACCATCAGCTTTTCATTGCCAGCAAAATAACACACTCCAGTCACTAAGTATTTTTGTCGACAAAAAGGGAAGTGAACGTCAAATACAAATGCTTCAGACAGTACAGAAATTTCATCGTCCTCTGAAAACACAGTACTTCTCCGCTGTAAAGTGCACATAAACAAACATCTCAAGGCAGTTTATGAGCTGTTTAATTACACACTGAACGTGATATTACTGTCAGCCAGAAGCAAGGCTCAACAATACCCCACACGCTGTGCTTACACAGGAGCACCGGGAGTTATATCCACCCCGCTGCCAGCAGAAAAGCATCTTCCAAATGCCGTAGTGATTACAGCGCTACCAAATGAAAATAAACTTCAGCTTCCCAGTCCACTTGGTTTGCAGGCCCAGCTGGTTACATGGATAAAACTGAAGGCAGCGTTTTGTGTGTGATAGTCTGCTCTGAAGAGCAAAGGGGTGAAACGTTACAAGCTTTGGCACAGAGGACAGGTCTGTAGCAGTGAGGTGCTCTCACCAACAGATATCAACAGGAAAAATTATGCCTGAGAGAGTCTTTCAAAGCTCACCGGAACCCACTTGCGAGAATATTCCTTCATGGCAGTAGCATGAAGCCTGTTTCTGTTCCTCTGGTCAGGCAACTTTACCTTGGGAAAATGAGAAGGGGAACAATTGCCTGGCACTACATTGGCCTTCTGTGTGCCTCCAGAGGCTGCAGGAGGAATCACTCCCACTCACTTTGGACCCTGCTATGGTATAGTAGTGAAAATAATTCTCACTGCAAGCAAAGGTGAGCCCCATGACGTACAAACCACAACAGCGTACTTTCACTAATACAGTCCTGCCAGCCTCAGCATTTGCAAAAAGCCACCAGGTCCTAAGGAACGCAAGCAGCTCAAGGGGGGGAGAGGAAGAAGAGGAACTCACACAGTGGTATCATTTCTGGAGCCAAGATTTTTACTTGCGATGAGCTATGCTCACAAAAGATACACAAATGCAGACAAACTGTCAATAAATCCATCTGAACTGAAAGAGCAGGAATTCAGTTTTGAAAGGCAAATGCAGTAACACCACACGCTCATACTCCACTTTGTAGACAGATATTCATGCTGCTCTACCCAAAGAAAAGCAGTGGAGTTACCATTCAGAAGACGATCCTTGTATCTTATGGCTGACTTAAGCACCCAGCCTAGTTCCTATTTTGGTTAAACTCATTTTTGCTACTGGTGCTTTTCTGCCTTGGCAGTAGGTGGATGCCAGAAGGAAAAGCCTTTCCTTGCTTCCAAGGAGCTCTAACTCTGGAAGAGCCAGCTCAGCAAGTGGGCTGCAACCACAGGCCAAGACACGGTGCTGCAGCCCACCAACAGGTCACAGGCAGGTTACTAACCAACTGCTGGAAACACTCTCCTGCACCTTCACACACTATCAGCCAGAACATCTGTACACCAAAGGTATTTCTGAACAGCCCAATTAATACCTGAGGTATTTCTGCATGATCTGACTGACATTCAGCTGCCTGTGGTACATGAGGACGTCACCCTAGCTAGAGCAGCCACCCGCCAGCCCGTCTGCCTTCAGAGGGCTGACTGACAGGTGTCAAACGATGAAAGAGAGATGACTCAACAAGAGGTAACGGGCACAAACTCGAACATAGGAAGTTCCACCTAAGACAAGGAGGCACTTCTTTACTTTGAGGGTGGCAGAGCACTGGAACAGGCTGCCTAGAGAGGTTGTGGAGTCTCCCACTCTGAAGACATTCAAAACCTGCCTGGACGCCATCCTGTGCAACCTGCTGTAGGTGACCCTGCTCTGGCAGGGGGGTTAGACTAGATGATCTCCAGAGGTCCCTCCCAACCCTGACCATTATGTGATTCTGTGACTGCAGGGAAGGCTGCTCCCAGCTACCCTTTCACTGGAGGCTGCTCAGGGCAGCAAGAGCCGAACCGCTGAGGAAGCAGCTCTCCAGCAGTCAGGTCACCATGGTACACTGGGCTCCATGATGGAGAGCAACCACTCACTACTGCCGTAGGAGGCACGAGGGCACCACAACGCTACTGGGCCCACTGCCCCATCAGACCTCTGCATCTCCTGGTTTTGCCCATGGTCTTGCCTCTACCATTGTCAGAGGCCTCCGGCTCCTCTTCGGGCACAATATGTCTGCTTTTGTCCGGTGCTTCCCCAGCTACAGTGCTTCAGCATTGCTGTGCACACTGAGTTCCCCGTAGCTCACCAGAAAAAGGCCTCAGACCTGGGAAGTTGTACTCTGGTTTTAGCTGGGGAAGAAAAGCAACCAAAAAAACCCCAAAAAACTTATGACAAGAGGTTAATTGCTTAAAAACGGGATAAACAGATGTACAGAGCAGCATGCTGCACAAAGCCATCACAGGATAAAAGCTGCCAGAGCAATGTGCCAACTAGTGTCTACTGTTGGAAGCGTGACAAAAAAGGATCTAGACTAATGGTGGTTTATGTGCCCACGAAAAAAATTCAGTACTTTCGGAAGCCTCTTCTACCTAGAAAGTAGGCAACAGCAACAACAACAAAAAAAAGGTAAAGTTTCTGTCATAATATTTCCTCTATTTTTGGTGATCCAAGCTAGCACACAGCAAGAACAGCCCTCCCATATGTTTCCCTAGGTGTCCCAACCGTCTGCTGATACAGAGAAGGAAACAGTGCCATTGAGCTAACTTCTGAGGACAGACCAATAGCTTTCTGAGAAGTAAAGATCTGTTTCTAAGTCACCAAACTCCTTCAGTAAATACATAAATTTGCACTGGATGAAGGGATTTTCCTTAAACCTGTCTTCCTTAAAGCAAACAGTAAGATTCCCACTGATGGAAACAAAGTCAGACCATTATCAAGTACTTTTTAAATAAAATCTCACAATAAATTATAAAGCTAGTTTGGTATGAATTTAACCCACTTGACTTTTGCCAAGTGCCTGTTTGCAAATTTTAAGTAACCTCTTATGAAGACAATCCTCTGTCCCACCCAATGGAGCCAATGGTCTTAAAAGATCAGAAGAGAAAGAAGAAGAGAAAGAAACCTCAACAGCTTTCACAAGTGATTCCACAATAAGATAAACAGAAATAAATATACCATTTAGATGGAAAATTTAACTTTCAAAGTTTCATGTACAGGTGAGCAACGATGGCAATAATACACATTCTCGAGATACTGCAGTTCTTTTAACATAAATATATCATAAACTGAGTTGGCAGGATGAGTCCAACTAGTAGTGGGTAAGCACACAACACAGAACTTACTTAGCTGCCTTGTTTAGCAGGATCAAAAGGCAACTAAACAGCAGCTTCCATCCAAACATCTCTGTAGATCCCTTAGAGCTGAGATACATTTTCACATTCTTGGGAAACGATGCCCTGATGTACCAGGATTTCAGCTTATATGACTGCTAATTTAATCCCCAGGAACATTTTAATATTCATTCAAGAAATAAAGACCACATAGAGGGAAATCAAGACTTAAATAAATAATGATCAAACATTATAAATACCTTCTGAACCATTTCTGTCTGGCCACATGCTAAGTTATTCAACAGGGATCAAAATTACTATCAATAAACATTTTTTTTAAAATTATAATTGCATTAAAATTTACACAGGACTGGAACAAGTATCATAAGTCACTGAGACGAAGCCTTTTTTTATTGCAGGCGATAGTATCACACAAAGTGCCTCGCAAATGTTTCAGCTGCAACGGAGAAGCGGACAGATTTTCTGTTACCAGTGCCTCTACTGAAAGTCCGTTACTGAATTTCTTTCTCAAAAAAACCTTATTCTAACTCCTCATTTACATCTATTCATAGCCAGTTTATACCCATTTGTTCTTAACCCAACACTGCTCTATGGATTACATAGCTCTAGTACCCTATCACTTACTCCCTGGGTATACATTTGAAGCAAAGAATTATGTACCCCCAAACTTTATTTTATTAGGCTAAATACAAGCCCCTTCTGTTCCTCTTACGAAAACGGTGCTTCATCTTCTTGACCAACTTACCATTCTTTGCCCACCATCTGCTGGGTTCAACCATGCAAATTCACTTTTTCTCAGTGAACCTGACTAAGCATAACACCATAGGTGGACTTCTGCTGTCCCTCCTCCAATGGCTTTAAGACCTCTCAATTTCTAATGGAAGTCCTTTGCCTTATCATGCAGGCTGGAAGGTACCCTGTAGATCTATGGAGGGGGAATTACATATTAAAAGGGCTCTCAGTTCTCTTTCTCCACATTTCATAAAAATACTCAGTGTATTTGTGACTACTTGGGATAAAAATAAATTTGCAAACAATGCAAAATGTCTACCATATGGCAGATTGTTAGAAATCCACACCTATTGGGAAGAAATATATACAATATAGTTTCAGATTAAGTCCCTGCTGTTGCATGTGTCTTACTAAGTGCAACACAGATCAGACTATCTTCATTTGCTGTTACTTGTGCCCTTTTAAGAATGTACAAGATCTCATCAGTACTCAGAGATCAAATCAGAATAAAGGCCACTATTGTTTTCTACAAGGTAAAAATATTATTTGGGACAGCAGGCAGAAATAAAAAGAAAGAAAAGGGAGCAACAATTGAAGTGCAAAGGACAAAAAAGAAGAAAAAAACCCCACACATCTTAATGCACAACTTTAAAATAAATTAGAAAAAACAGCCA